AAAAACTTTTATCCTAAAAATTGTACGTTTTTCATTTTAAGAAACTTAAAAAACTTTTATACTCTGTTTTTTTTTTCTTCAGAAACTGAGGTCCTAAAATTCTCTATTTTGGGTATTTGAAAAGACTTAGAAAACGCCTGGAAGTATGTAGGATATTTTAGCATTTTAGAATATTTTTCGTAAAAAAATTTACTATTAATGCCATATACTCTTTAAATATCTATTAATAATTGACATGAATTAAATGGTATGGGTGTCTAGAATATTTGCATATTGCCATCTACCAATCAATAAAAGGCTTAAGATATCTAAAACTTATTTCATGCAATACTTAGTAAATTCAATTAAATATTTATTAAGTAACAAAATTTTGAGATTGAAAAAATAAATAAAAATTTTGTAAAACTTTTTAAATGTATTAGCAAATAAGAAAATATTAGAAATATTTGTCACAAATGAGTTAGATTTCATAAATATTTTAATAATTATATAATTAAAAAATAAGTTCTGTCCCGCGAGCATATTCCCAAATTAATTTTATTTATAATTTGGAAAATTAAAAAGAAATATTGAATTGAATCTATATTTTCTCTAATTTGAAAAATAAAATATACACGGATAATACAATCTATAATAAGAATCCTTAATCTAAAAATTTCTAACAATTTCTTCCGGATTCAAATTGAATTGTGAATCAGTGATCTAAACCAAATCCAATTGTTATCATAAGTAAAATTCTCATTTAGAATAAATCACAAATAGTACGTATACCAATTTTTATAAAAAAATGGGCTTGTAATCTACTTAAAATTATTTTATTTTAGTTTTGAATATTATTGTATTACTTAACTCAAAAATAGCAATAACAACATGAAGGTCTATATAAAAATAATTATTATTCAAATTAATTTAAATAAAATTCATTCATTCACCAAAGCCTATAGAAAATACCAAAGTAGATACTCGAAATCCATTTCATTTCAACAGATAAAAATATTTTCATTTCCGCAGTGTCAAAAATTTAAAGCAAAAAAATTTCATTTTTTAAAAATTAAATCTGAAATGTGATTTACCTTTCAAAGTATATAAAGGTGAAAATTAAAAGAAAGGAGTGACTATGGGTCCCACCAATATGGTGATAAATTTTTACGCCTTTAAAGATAATGTTTGTACATAGGTAAACAGATACAGGTACGTAAAGTGTACGTTAAACATTTTTTACAATTTCATTTCAACTTTTCATTGTTTACTTATTTCTTGGCTTTATTGTTCTTAATTTTGGAAAAATCAAGAGAATTTCTTCATTTATAAACAAAAAGAAATTTTGTTTTTCACCTTCTTTATTGTTATACCAATGAAAAAGCGAAAAAACAATAAAAAACATCCTTCCGGTTAAATAAGAAAACGAAGAAGCATCGCGAAAAAGGTATTTACCTTCTTTTATTTTTTAAAGAGTAAAAGAAAGAACAAAATAAAATGAAAGTGGCAAAACAAAAAAAAAAAAAAAATCAACCCTAAAAAACAATACACTGCAAAGGAAGATTTAGGCTTTAATGAAAAATAGGAAATTCTTCCATTTAATAAATTGTTTGTCATTTCTTTTGTATATAAAAATGCCCTGAAACTAATAAATGAATTCGTCGGGAAAAATAGGATTGACTGAAAAGAATTTCTTTTTTTTTTGTTTTTATTTCTCATATGCAAACAACACTTGAAAATGAACAAAAATTTTTCCCATTTTACTGTTTTGTGCATTAAAATCAGTTTTTTTTTTAAATAATCCTTTTGTATTGTGATTGGTTCTTTAAGCATTGTTTAATGTTTCCATTTTCGAAAATTGCTAATGAATATTTAAAGAAGCACTTAAGACTTTTTGAAAGGTTTTTAATTCGTAGATAATGCCAAAAAAATTTTCCCTGACTATTTAAAATAGACAATTTTTGATGGAAACATTTTTAATGTGCACATTTAAAAAAACCCAATGATGTCGCATTAAAAATTTATTGGAGTATAAAAATTTTCTTCTAGAAGAATTAAAATTTTGCATTTATTCAGCACTTAAACAGCATTAATTAGAGAGTCCGTTGCATTTTATTAGTGATGTTAATGCACCTCTTTTCATAGTAAAATGTGAAGTGTCTCATTGTTTCTTATTTGAACTCCATTGAAGAGAATATGAAGTTTTTTCATTAACATCTAGAAAAAGATGAATAAACTAATTAGTTAAGAATGATTATTGATTTTAATTTAAAAATCATGCCACTTGTCCTATAAAACATCCTATTGTATGCAGTTAATCACAACTTTAAGAAAAAAATATGGGATTCCTTAAATTCGTCCTTCTGTTTTTGGATAGAAAAATCCATCCAAATATTGACGTTGAATTATTTCATAAATTAATATTAAAGACATGCAAAGCCAAAGTGTATTTTTAAAAATACATTTGAACCGAATTCATCTGTACATAATTATTTATAGATCTGTAAAAGAAAATTGTTTGATAATTTTGATAGTAATGACAATGAAGTAAATTTCGCTGGTTTTTAATTTAAGTTAAAGTAAGGGTGTAAAAGTAAGGTTGTATTTTTAGTGAAGATGCAGCTTAAAAACTCCTAGAATGAATTCTTTTTATTTATCTGCCTGGAAATTCTGGCCTAAAATGAAAATTTTTAAAAATTATCGATAATTTTTAAATTTTATTTCAAAAATTATTCAAACAATTATTACTTTCGCAACTAGAATTTCTATAAAATACTTAACATATATTCTAATCAAATTTGAATCCAAATAACAAGAAAAAAATAATGTACGTATAACACTTTTCTTTTACGTTTTATTTATTAAAAAACGAAGGCGAAATGTGTTATACTTCTATATTTCATCCACATATTATAGTGAAATAATCTTATTTACATTCAAAATATCTTACTTTTCTAGACTTGCTGCTGTTAGTTTAAATTTAGAAAAATGTACAAGAAAAAAATTGAAAAGCTTAATATTATGTATAAGGATAAAAATTCTTCAAATATCTTCTCCTATCTTTTTTTATATTACTTTAATTTTACATACTCTTCTTTAGAAAATCCTAACCTTCTTCTACTTTTATTCAGATTCTTACCTGCTTTATGTCTTTTCAAATTCTAAAATGTCAAATCCTATAAAGTTTTATTTTTGGGAATCTCCTTGCTATTCTTTATGTGTCTTCTCTCTTCTCTTTTATCTACTATGTTAAACGTGATTTTGAACTAAAATAGACGTTGATGTAAAATAAATTGAGAAAATAAATAATCAAAAGGATAAACAATGATGGAAGAAAGGAAAGAGAGGAAAAAAAATATCCTTGTGTATACGAGCATAAGAACAATGTAAGGTTTTTGTTTTTTTGAATGAAAAAAAGCAAAGCAAAAATAAATATTATGATTTCTAGAGTATTTTTTAACATTTTGTAAAGGTGTGTGTATAAAAATAATAAAAATGTAAAATTTTTTCTTAAAATAACAAAAAAAAACTTTCAATTTTACTATAAAATCCTTGTGTTCACTATTATTTTTAAAGTTCTGCATTTAATTTGTATGGAAAAGAAGAAAAGAGAATAAAGTTGTCAAATTTTTTTCTATCAAATAAACTTTGTTTAAATCAACTTTTTACATATACACTTATACATTATAAGAATGAAAGATATTATAAGAATGGAGTAAAGGGTTCCAACAAATAGCAACAGTATAAGTGTCCTTTTTATTGAATATAAATGAAAAATCAAAATGAAAGGCAGGATTTTAATATACAAAAAATAAGTGAAATAGTTCCATTAATTTACACGGTCCAAACTTGTTTAGGAGTAATTTAAGATGCTTGTGCTGGCGTTTTATAAAATAATATGAATATGGCCCAGAACGTCTTTTGCACCAAATTTGCAAAAATCATGAATTCCAATATTTTTTTGGACAAGCATCATGAATTCCAGTTTTTGTTGCTAACGCTGCTAAGATTGTCATTTTTGATTTTTTTTACATTTATTTATGTTACTGCATCTTCCAGAACTCATTGTTAAAAATTACTGGTATTGATGTAGAAAAGGTAAACAGAAAAGAAAATTTTTATTTATAAAATTGTAAAATATCAACTGATACGTTTTGCTTTATTTGCATATGACTGTCATTTGTTATTGATGTGATCGATATGATCGTCAGATTGATAATGTTCTGGAAAGTACCGTAATTTAAGCATCTGGAGCTGAGGCTTTGTGCAACGGTTTGCATATTTTGTTGGAAAAAGCAATTAAAAAGAAGAAATCTCAAATATCATTTAAGCGTTTGAGTCTGGATATCTGGAAAAAAAAACATAATGTTTTTGTTAGTTTCTAAAAATATATTGTACAGACAATATTGATCCAATTTACACAGCAAACAGGTGGAACCATTTTAACTTTAAAATAGGCAGAAAACATGTCTTGAGCATAACATTTAAAAATTTTCCTATTTCAGTACAGTTATTTATTCACGCAGTTTTGTTTTGGAAATAGGTACATACTCGTATGATTGCCATTTAAAACGATAAAAAATAATGTACATATGTATGTACATATGTAGATGCATATTTATTTCTTAGTTCACATTTTAGGACAGGTAAGTCGATTTGATTTGAAAGGATAACGTCAAAAAAATACAAAAAATAAATAAAATGAAATAATGTCGAAAATGGGTCGACACAAAAGAGAGCAAAAAACAACAAATGACTTCCATATATTTTTTTAAAATTAGTTTTCTTAAGAAAAAATTCTTAAAGTAAATTTTAGTATGAGAAATTTATGTTAAACAAATAGCTGGATTGTTACATAACAAAATATTCTACAGAGTATAGAATGCTGAGATTTACCTAATATGTTTTGGATTATGTAATATTTTTGGAAAAAAACTTTTTGATTTTTGTATTAAGTTTTAAAACAAGATGAAAATTTAGGATAGGGGTGTGAATTAGCTGAAAATTAATCAATCACCCATATTCTGTTAAGTTTCATCACTCCAGGCCATGTGATATTATTGAAAAGGATTTTGCTTTTACGTACACAATTTCAAATTTTACGAACTATTTTTGCGAATTGCGACCAAACTGTTAAGGAAAACTATATTAGTACCAAATCCTGTGAAAACAAAACAAAATATATTTTAATTTTAGTTTAAGTAATCATAACAATAAAAATTTTAAGAATATTTTATTTAAAGAACTTGATAAATTATAAAGCAAGTATTTTTAAAATTAAATTTTGAATTTATACAAATTAAAGTTAAATCAAAAGCAGTACGGGATTCAATGTGATTTTAGAAAATTAAATTGAAATAACTTTTGTTAATTTATACGCTCCAACCTTATCTTAAAAATTTAATAATAAAAATGAAATTTTAATCATAACTTTTAAAAGAACGTATTAAACAACTATAGTAAATAATGAAGTGAAAATGTAAATTTTCTTATTATATCCAATATGGTGCACAGTAATTTTAAAAATTTGGAATAATTTTACTTGAATTCGGTACACTTTTGGGTCCATTCCATATGTTCACCACAATAATATTTTAATTTTATTGATTTTTATTATTAGAAATTACGAGAATAGAACTAAATTTTCTCCTACAAATTTGCCATATTTATATAGAATATGTAGTTAGAAGGAGGTGGAAACAATATTATTGAACTAGAATCCCCGAGTGTTCTAATAATAAAAAGTTATCCATAAGCAAATGGAATACAAAAATATTTGAAATCAAGAAAATTTACTTTAAAATTCACACAGCAATGCGAGAATGCAAATATTTAACAATTATATTCGAAGAATAGCCAAAAAAAGAAAACGATTCAACTTTATTTCAGGTAAATATGAAGGCATTTCAATTGTCTGTTAATGTTATAAGGACCGTTTTCCAACATTTTTTATTTGAAATCATATTAAATATGAAATGGATTTTTTTTTCGTCATTTTTGGTAATTGAATCAGTAATAGCAATAAAAAGAATAGCTAACAATCCATTGCCAATAACAACAACAAATGCAATCAAAGTGCTTATCATATTTTTTTTTGTGCAATTCAAATTCTTAAAAAGGAAAATGAATATCTTTAATTATTTTGATGGAACTAATAATTTCTATGAAGACTAAAATGGTAATAATGACATTACCAATTCCATTTTCGACCCCAACATTCTTCCAACTCTCATTATTATGAAATAATTTAATAAATTGTTAAGTTGTTAAAAGTACTAGAAAATTTTTCCTTTTTTCTTTTGGGTAAAATTTTAGTAGTTGTCAAATTAGAAATGGAAAAATTCATTTTTTCTATCCTTTTGGTTTGTGTCTTTTGTGTGTCCTTTTTCCATTAATATATTTTTATTTGGAAACGGTTATATTAGACTTCTAATTTTGGGAATTTAAATTTTTTTCTTGTTAATACTGTCACCACTTTAGCATTTTTTTCTTGATTTTTTTCTTCTCTAGATTTCGTAGAGTAAAGTGAATTTGATTGAATAAAATTTTATTGTTAAAGGAGTAATCAAGATTTCACGATAGAATTCTTAAGACTCTTCCCATAAATGCGTACATTATTTAACTATAAAAGTTGTGTTTCCATAAATTTGCTAATCGAAAATCTCATAATCCGAAAAATTGTTTTCCCATAATCAAAAATCATTAATTTAACATTCATACTACTGAAAATTTATACAATTTTAATTATAAAATACAGAAAATCAGATTAAATTTCGATTTAGCTACAATGCCGTTCACTTAATCAATTCATAACTATTATTTAAATTTAAAACAAAATAATTGGACAAGGATAATAAATTTCAACTTGCACTTTTATACAAATTGTTTCAATAGATTTCTCATCCGAGATCCGATATATTTCATAAAAACATTACTGAAAACCAAAAATTATTGCCTTATCAAGGTAAATTTACAATATACGAGTACACATTTTATTAATCCTGTAAGATTTTCTACATAAAATATTTGTTATTTTCTTTAAATCCTTTTTTTAAAGTTCAACATTTCGTGGTTTTAAATATAATTTTAATATTCTATAAAATATAAATATAATTAAAAACCCTTGTATTTTACTTCATATAATCCCTATGTTTTTATTAAAAAATATATTTCGTTCTTTCACATAAAGGAAAAGCAAGAGTAAGTTGCTAAAGAAAAGGAAGAATAAGAAGAAGAAAAGATTTATCGTGACAAATCTCCTCTAGAATAAGAATAAGTCCCGGGAATATACACTTATTATATTTAATAAATATCAGTATAATTTATTAAATTTCTATAGAAATTTTACAAAAAAAATAAAGAAAAAATAAAAAATGAACTAAGATCCTTTCTATATTTTGTATAATATTTGTAAATATTAAAAAAGGAATCCTTTTTTTTATTCTTTCAAGTTTTTAGCAAGCAAAAATTCCTTATTTACTGTAGGCGAACATTTCCATTTAATTTAATTTTAAAATGAAAATGTCTTTTTCTTTCATTTTATAAGTTTTTTTTTTTTCTTTTTTGCTTTTCTGTTTTATTTTGCAATTATAAATAAAAATAAAAGCTTACAATACAAATTTCAAAAAGTAATTATTTTATTACCAATTTCTCTTATTTTGTATTTAATCCTTAATTAATTTTAATAGCTTTCTCATCTACAAAAAAAAATTAAAATATTCTCCTTTAAGATAACAGAAAGAGAATAAGAACAGTAAAAACTAAATGGAAAACCCAACTATTCTAGGTTTTCTTTATCATATGCTTACGCGCATACACGCACCCAAAATGTAGAGAAAAACAAGAGGTTTATAAATATTAATTTAACAAGCAAATAAATTTTTTGTGCTTTAACTTTATTTTACATGCAAAATTATCCTTTTAAAATTTTAACATTTTGATACAAGAGTAAATTAAAAAGTAGCTAATAAAATTTCAATCAATTATATATAAATTTTAGCTACAATTCAGGAATGCGAAAGGTCAATCTTAAAGAATAACTTGTGTGAAATTAGAACAAATTGTGTGAATAACACGTTTCAATTTAATATAGCATCACAACATCAAAATCCTGGCAATTAAGCTATGAGAAATTAGAAATTTCACAAAGTAAAATAACAAATTGCCAAATTCAATTTTTAAAAATCCTAACTTGAAGCAACAGAATTTTTCCAATTATACAGAATATAATAATTTACAATTTCTCACACAAGTAATTCTCTTACTAGCTTACAATTCAGAAACTTCCATAACTTTCAAACAACTAAGAAACTTTCAAACAACCCTTGTCTTTTACGATATTCTTCGTAATATCACGGCTCATTGTACAAAATGTTTTAATTAAACAGCAAATTAATTTGATTTTTTCGTTTTTTGTTTTCCTCTTATTTATCAAAATGAATTTCAAGTCTTTGGAATACATTGAAATTGCTTACTTCGTTGTCAAGGACTAAAAAAAGAAATCAAATAAAACTGCAAAATACATAATTAAAATTAAAGAAAATTCATTAGATGTAAATCAACTTTTCAAAATTTTCAATAAAATTTTAAATAGAAAAACTAAGGAAAGAAAATATTTTTTTATCAATTTCATGGAATACAAAGATATTGAAGATAAGGAAAGGAATATATTACTCAGACTAGTTTAAATCATTCTAATCAACGGGAAATCAAATACTACTTACAGAGCCAAATTTTATTAAAGGATCTAAAATATTTTAAAAATTGTAGCCGAAAATGTTTATTACTCTGTTAATATATTCGGCTTTATTCTTGTATCATCATATAGTTCTGGTGACAATGTAGTTTTTTAATCAGAGTTCAACTCTATTTTCCGGAAACTCTTTAGCTTACCGAATATTTAACTTTGGTATGCGCATGGTGTTCACACTAGTACATTAATTTTTTTTTTTTGTTAAAAATTATTAATTTAGCAAATTTATTGGATCTAAGATATTAAACTAGATTTTCTGAGAAAAAAATGAGGAATAAGTTTTTCCAGAATTGAAAATATCAAAGTACTTAATGAAAATTCGCAAAATTATTTAATTCGAACCAAAATAATTTTTTAAGTAATGGCTTTTATGCTTAATTTTAAATTAAGGAAATTTAGGAGTAGCTTTTCTCAACTTTAGGAGTACAAGAAAAAGCACAAATACCCTAAAATATCAAAAATTTCATCTTATTTTAAAAATTATTTTAAAAGAATTTCAAAAAATCCTTTTAACAAATTACTGAACCTCCTTCTATAACTATTAAAATTTTATAAAAAAAAAAAAAAAAAAAAATTTTTTTAAGTTTTTCTAAACCTAAATTATATTTTTAGTTTGTAAAATTAATTAAAAATTTAAATAGGATTTTAGTTTTTAAAGCGCATTTCAAGTTAAAAATTATCATTATAAGTGGAATTTTATCTACGGAAATTCATTGAATACATCAAAGTCAAAATCAAAACTATTTTAAGGCAATTTATTAAAAAAATATTTTAAAAAATAAAAAAAAAATAAAATTTTTGTTCCATTTATGATTTTTCCATTTATTTGTACCTATATAAGAATTTCAATGTCAGAATTTTGAGGTTTAAGTACTTAATACATATTTAAGTAGATTTTAAGAACGACTGAATTGCTTAACTAAAAAATTATAAACACATTGAATACAAGCCTTGAATTGAATTGGTTTGGAAGGTCATGGCAAGGGTTTACAGGCACAAATGTATACATTAATATTCATATTTCTATGTAATAACACCTTAGATTTCTAAAGTGGCAAACTTATTTAACCATAATACATTTACATCGATAGGGAATTTTTGAAACCAAAACTTAAGTAAAGAAAATTTTATTCATCTTTCCTCTTTTTTTATTTTGCTCAAGTTTAAAAATATTTTCAAAACTTTTAATTTTAAATTTAAGTGTTAAAAACTTTTATGAAATATTCTATGTTTTTGTTTTATTAATTATGATTTTATTTATTTTTTTACTTTCGTTATTATGAAAATAAGAGTTTTTTCATCATGAGTTTACTAATTTAAATTCAACGAACTGAAATATTTTGTTAAAAACTCTGAAAAGCTCTCTTATATAAAATTCCAGAATACATATTTAATTACATTATAGAAAA